ATTCTAGGTACAGGTATGTGCCCGTGTATGCCTGGCATGTGTAACAATATTAATAGTCTTGCCTATCAGGTAAAAAAAGGTTGAATATCGGATGAACTCAGTGTAGAAATGGGTGCTCACAATATTGTGAAGGATGTTTCTGATATGGAGAATTTCTTTTTCTTTCTGAAAGTTTGGGTGGATGTAAAATAGGCCAGCAGGAGTTTTGTCAAAGTGATTTCAAACTTAGGAAAGAATCAATAGTGAAAAACCTTTCACATGAGTTTAGAAGCTATAAGGAGGTATTCAGAAAAGATAAAGGAGCTCTGAGAGATATGGAGGAAATGGGAAACTGTGCAGTTGTTTCTGATGCCACACCTTACGCAGGGGAACTAGAGGAAGCCGTTTGTACTCTAAATAAACCTGGCTTTGGTTGGATGAAAGAAGCTGCTTAAATGAGCCATGCTTTACGGGAGCTCTATCAAAGGCTCAGGATGTGTTAGTCTGTGTTGTTAATATTTATCTTGCAGCTGTAGAAGTCAACCATTCCAATGAAAAGTCAGAATCCCACTGAGAGGGAAATGGTACAACTGAAGAAGTCTGGAATTTTTTTGACTAGTGATCAAGGAATACATCTGATTGCATAGTGACAACTTTAAGATCAGTCTGTAAAACATCTCTGAAGATGATGCTCAAAGCAGTCTTGAGTGATGTTCGTTCTGAAAATGAAAAGAAATCAGGAAGTCTTTGTGCTGTGCAAAGCATTTCAGTGTTACACTGGGGTAGGGGGAAGTTTGAACATTTCATTTCTTACAAAACTCTGACTTTGTTATGCACTTGTAATTGTTTTCCTGCTGTGTTGTGAGACCAAAATGCAGCTGTTCTCAATAACGGCCATTTACACTGTTACGTCTATTTTGCTCTGATGTCATTGTAATGGAAAAATGTGGATAAGTGATGTTTTACAATATTGTCTTCTGCAGGAGGGAGACGATTGCTTCTATGTGCCCTGCTCGTGGGTTTGCTACAACCATGGAAGTCTTACAGAAGTCCAGTAGGAGCACGAGCTATGGGTGTTTTATTCCTTTGCTTTTAAAGAAAGAAGTTGTCATTTGTTTTCTTTAGAGGAAGAGAATTGTAGACAACAGCTCATTTGTTGGTGAATGTACGTGGTTTAAAAGTAATTAGAAAGCCTTCTGGAAATAAAAACTTCTGTGTGTGTAGACAGCATGTTGAGGTAATCTTAAGAAAAAGTGAAGGTAAAGCCACTGCTCTGAACACTTTACTAAAGTCTTAGACATGTCAATCCCTCGCTGTGTTCCTCTAATTCCACACATGAATCAAGTACAGGACTGCTAAACATGTGATGTGATGCTATTATATAGATAATAGTCCTATCCAGTGTGTAAGGGAGAAGAAATTAGAGTGAAATCTTAGCTTCATCTTAGTAGGAAATTATTTTGAGGTGCTTAATTCATCTGTGTCTGCCTTTTGGAGCTTCAACTACAAAAGAGTAAGAAAAGTGAAAGGGATGAGGGATGGAGGTGGTGTGGTATGATATGCTAAAGAAGCAGAGTAATAAAGACATTAAATTATGTACAGACTCATAAATTTGGGGTTTTAGATTACCTTTTGAATTGTCTTTATCTTTTCTATCAAACAGCTTTCTCACATTAATTCTTGATGCTGACCTTTCTGTTATTCATTTTTGGGCTTCATGCTGGGTTAGACCATCATATCAATTGCTTCTAGCTTTGCTGGTGATTACAAAAGTGAGATTTTTCAGGGTCTTATTTTGAAAATTCAAGAACTAAGAGTCATCACCTGTGTCCTGTTCAGTTGTGGAAGTGAAATCTGTTGCTCTGGAGATAAAGCTGTCTAACCCTTTGCCATCAATTCTGGACAAAAGCCATGAACCTTTGACACTTAAAATACTGCTGAACTCATAGGGACTTTGTGTCACTACAGTAGAAGGGTAATAATCTAATGATTATTCTGAGTTTTCATTGGGCTACTTAAAAAAATAACTTGTCCTTATAGCACTGATTTATAACATCTGATTCTTAAAGGTCAGAGGCAATTCTTGTTACTTTCTGCCTTATTTCTGTATAATTTTTTCTAGATTAGTAACTTATACTGGTTTTATTGTCTTTCTAAATGTTAGATTGAGGTTTGCTGTAGAAAATAAAATTGCTATCAATCAACTTTTTTTTTTTAACCTACTATTTGATTTCATTAGTGTGCTTGCTTGTAAGTCTCCAGATTATAATCCACTCACTCTGTTTCTGTTAGGCATGTCTGCCACAAATCATGGTGAAACTCAGTGTAACCCATTGGCTTTTCTGTTGTGGATTTACATCACTGCAATAAGCATGATTCCTAAATAACTTGTTTACTGGATGAATGTAGTAATTTTATCCTCCTCATGGTGTTTTCAGTTCAAAAATTCTCGAAGTATTTTAAGACCTATACGCAGTAAGTAAGAATCATTGTTAGAAGCTACATTCAGACAAGTAAATAGGAGCAAGCAATGGAATCCTCTGCATTGCTGTATGAAAGGAGGAGCAAATTTCGACTGAGAACCATAGTTAAACTCTGAAATTTTCAGGAAAGAGCTGACAGGATCTAATTTACTAACAGCTATTCTGTCTGTCTGCTTTCCTCGAACGTGGAGATAATTGATCACAGTCATTCAGTTTTCTCTGGAAATATAAGGAGCTGAGATTTGAACCAATTGTTCTTCGGAGTGAAGGGAATTGCTGTCTTCTGGAGCGCCTGGATTCAATAAAATTGCTTAAACTATTAACAGCACTTCTTAAATTGGTTAGATAGGCAGAAATGAATTAAAAAAATACGAAACTCCATCCTCTGCTTCTCATTTAAATTTCAAGTTGGATAGAAAGAGGTGGCTGCACTTCTTACTTGGCTCTGATTGCAACATGGGTTCTCAGAAAAACGAGTGTGAGATTGTCCTTTTTAACTCTTACCTTGTGAAATCTGTTTTTGGTTTTGTGCTTGTTGATTTTAGGCTGTGACTAGTTGAACAAAAAATATGAAGCTTCCATTCGGTGTTGTTACAGAATTTCTGTGAGGAAAAACACGCTTTGCAATTTTTCCTTTCTGATTTTCTTACTTAGTTTTATAAAATCTCTTTGTAAGTTATAAAAACCTAGGATATGGAAAAGATGATTGACTTGGCTAATGAGTGCTGGTATGATATAAGCATAATGAATGCTAGAATTCTGTACGTTGTTTTCTTAAATGAAAAAGAATCCTTACAGAACAGGATATATTCATCTGATCAACTTCTGTGAAGTTCTTGGTTTTTTTGTTTGTTTGTTTTACCTCTGCAATGCCCCCTTCAGAAATGCATCTGTGAACACTGTAACTGATACTGACTTTAAAAGGGATTCTGGATGAACCATCTGGAACGGCCTCAGTGTTACTCACTGAGCTGCAAATCAGGAGAAAATGAAGATCAGTTGTAAGTCGGGAGAAAATTAAATGTGAAGTTATCCATGGTAATTCGTAGTCCTCACTGAGGGGGAAAAATTGTATTTGAGAGATGTTTTATTCTTGTGGGATAAGCCAGTCATAATTTCCTTTTCTTTTACCCAAGGTTTTTATTTTGAATGCATTGAACATTAAGCTAAATTGTGCTGTTTCACTGTCAGCAGTCCCCCTGCAAGGATGGTTGGTAGTGGTTTTATTCCCACATCAAATATATTCATAACCATGTGCCCAGAACTCTAGCCTGAATATTTCCATCAGCATGGGGCTTAAAGCTCTGTAAATAGACATACCTGAAAGAATAACTTTAGCTTCTGTGTCAGTGTATACACACACATGTGTGTATGTATCCCTTATGCACGCTTATGATGGAAAATGAGCAAGTTTTCTATGCTGTTGTTGTACAGACCTTGATTGTCCCATATTACTGTTGAGAAATGCTGATATGTATGCATTAATGTTAATTCTTAGTGAATAAACACATTCTCAACAGGAGCTGCCCATCAAAATCTGCAGGCAAAATATAGTTGTAGTATGATAGGAGTTGGTGTGAAGCTTTGCCAGCTCACTTTGCGTATATATAATGAAGTCCTGTGAAGATTTAGGGTAGGCTATGGACCATCCACAGTCTGCTACACAGCCTGCTGCCTGGGGTAGCAAGCAGCAGAGTTCTACATAGCCACACAGCTGAGGTTGAAATCTCTCTCATGTGTTTGATGCGTACTGGGAGCTGTTTATTACAGTAATAACTGTTCAGAATATTAAAATTCATATTTAATCTGTACAGCTACAGAACAGTATTAGACGGTAAAAATTGTAATAAAGGGAATATAATGCTTGAATGAGCAGTTATTATCAAAATGAAATTGAATGGTATAGTTCAGTTAGAAGGGACCAACAAAGATCTTCGAATCCAACTGCCTGATCACTTCAGAGCTAACCAACTTAAAGCATATTGTTGGAGTATAAGGCATATGCAAAGAGTCTAGATTGTTGTACCATGAATGAAACAAATCAGAATACAGATTTCTTAACTTATTTTGAATGAACTGTAAGTGGCATATGATATTATAGGTGATGGCACTATTTTCCTAATGTTATCCAAGTTCTAATTTTTCACTTCCCAAATTTTCTGGCTTCAGCCAAACTATTCTGGGTGAAATCTTGAATTCTAGATATAATAAGCCTTTGGATTATTGTCTCTGTAAAATTACAGCTGAAGTGGTTCAAGTATTTCCAAGAATGAGGATATTACAAAGACACTTCTTCATGTTAAGAGTTTCCTAGAATCTAGAGTTTCTGAAGGTCTGTAACTATCTTATTTGAGCAGAGCAGCTGTGCCATGTTGTACTGTGTGATATTATGAACATAGAAGGGCTCTAAGAAAATGTGTGCAGACAATCTTAGTTCTTGGATTCGGATGTTTTCAATGTCAATTTTGTGATTTTGTTTAGTTGTTGCCATGTGGGTTTACAGCAATTAACAGCACTATTTGTCTCATTTTGCCTTAGATTATTGGTTGCCAAGTCAGAAGAGAGCCACCAGAGTCTACTGAACGGTACACACGTTGGATCAATAGTCTGACTGAAGAGCAACTTCTTACACAGGTATTCTTTTTCCAGGTGTGACTGAAATGATGACTGAAAAATATAGTGCAAGGTTTATTTAGTTAGCTTTTCGTTCAGTGGCAATACATGATAACTTCCCCAAGTCATCAGGATTTTATAACAAATAACAGAAGTTTGTGGTGCGTGTGATCATTATGTAATGATACCTTTGCACTGAGCTATGATACTGACTGCTTCTTTATCTGTTTAAATTTTGCTGGAGATCATTTTAAAATACTGTTCATTACACATGTTTTTAAGTAAGATACGTTTACAGGACTGAAGATGACAGTTCTGGCATGAAGATAGGTTGTTTTGTTAGGCAGGCAGCCAGTGCTGAACTAGAAGAGACTTTGGCAAAAACAAGTTGAATTGTGGAAGAAATCAATCCAGCCTGTGGAGGAATGTGTGTGCTGAGTATTATTATAAGAAATCTAATGAGAGTTAGCAGAAAGCATCCCAGCAGACATTATGATTCAAGTATTTATGATTGGGTTTTGTGATGCTATGGTAGGAAGACATTTGCTTTTGATTTTCTTGGATTTAAGTGCTTGAAAATACTAACATACCCATGTTTGTTAGACTTCATTGCTGCATTTCCCATTACCATAACCCCCAAAAATATACTTACAGGCTCTGGGATGGTCACTGTAACACAAGAAATTCATCTGTAGACTTATTTTAAAACCAGCAGTAGTGTTATGGTTCTCTGTGATTTACCAAATGAAAGCAGTTATAGGGAACGTCACCCAGTGGGATGAATATTTGGATTCTCCTTTGAGTATGACATTAGAAAAGATTACAGTTTTAAAACCATGAGTTTATCTGACAGTGATATCTGGATATGCAGTAATAGCACACAACTACGTTGTTAAAGGAAAGACAAAGGAAAGCTTGAGGATGCAGTGTAAAAGTTTGTCCTACATCATCTGCTGTTTTTTGTCTGTCTTGAAGTGGTCACTCGATGGAGCCTTTCATGAATTAAACTGGAAAGCAAAGGAAATATCCTAATTTTGAGATTGCTTTGGGTGTGAAAAATGAACACTCATTTTAAGACAGGGCTGCAAATTTTCCAGAAGAGCTTATGTAGTGTTATTTTCCTGACAGTAGGATGCAAACACAGTGACCTGGGTAATCCCATGCAGTCTTATGTGTCTATAAATATATCTTCCAGCCTTAATCAAGTAGCAATCCATTGTTTTTACATACGATTTAAATTCACACATTTTACAGCTTGATAAGGAGTTCTGGAAAACATATTGGGACTGGATCTAGAAGTCTGCATAATAAAGCTTGTGCTTCCTTTTGATGGGCTTCTAAACAAGATGAGATTTGGACAAGACAACTGAGTGCAGTTGCACTATTTGTGTTCCTCTTTTGGGTTTAAAGACGTTACCTGTTCTATACAAAAAGTAACCCAGAAATAGTAGTTCCTCAAACATACCAAGTTTCTGAAAAATCTGTGGAAGTGTAAAGCTAGAAGGCACTGTACTGCACCAGCTGCAAATCGTATGTCATTAAGACCAACAGAATCCACTTGGGCAGAGGTTTGAGTGCCCAATCATGAGACAAGCTTCAGCTGCAACCCATGATCAACTGGGAGACAAATCTGTATGAAGCCTGGCTTTTGTAGCTCTGCTGTGAGAAGAATGGATCGCTTTCAGAGCGGTGCATTTTGGTATGCATCACTTCTCCTGACTCAGTAACCATTTTTCTGATCTGAAGTTCAGGTAGGGAGGCAATTATTTTGTTTTTTTCTTGATTTAACAAAGTATAGATATGAGACAAAACTCTTTCAGCTGTTCTCTATTAGTTTTGATGTGAGTGAGCTGTATAAGGTTAGGCCTGTGAGGGGGTTGTCCCCTTTGTCCTCCTGATATACTGATGCGTTTTATTTTGGATGTACTCCTAAAAACTTTCTTATTTTTTTCAGGAGGTAAGTCCTAAGAAAGCTGTAATGATAGGCCTCTGCTAAGAGATTTGTCCAATACAGGGGAGGAGCAGTCCTTCAGGGAATTCGGGAAAATTGGCTTTAATTTGCAGCATGCTGTCTCCAGCAGTTTCCTGTAGTGAAAGAATGTTCAGCTTTTTCTAGCTGTCTCTGTACTCAGTCCTCAGCTTTTTCCCCACTTTGGCGTTTCTGTATCACACACGTGCTCATTATTTATGCTGTGAACTGGGACAGTGAGTGACCAATAAAAAAAAAGTTGACAATGTTGCATAATCTGCTCTCATAATATTTGGTATTAATCAAATAACGTTCTATAGCATTTGATGACTTCAGTTGCTGTTTACTAAAGCGCAGTTTGAAAGAGGTGGGTGGCAGCAGATGTTTTGTTAGGTGGTTGGATTGCTTCATGAGCCTCAGTGCTCTGCTGGTTTTATATTGCCTGAGTCAATACCAGATTTTTGGATCGAATGTCCATACCCTGTCTTCATGCTGAGATCATTCAATACAAAATGCTTCTAGCATTTTAACTTTTCCCTTCCCTTAACCATGGCCTCTTGATGCTTGCTCATCCATTAAATGTTTCTCTAAACAATTATACTGTAACATTCCAAAGATACTCTATGGTATGCGTGAAATTTCAGAATATATACCCCAGAGATTGAGGGGGAGTGAAAGAATACAAAGAGAGCATACTGATGTGAAGACTACTTTTTAAAAGAGCTTTGTTTAAGGTTATCTTCTTTATAGATTATGAGCGATAAAACATTGCTTTGCACGTGTAGTAATGTAAGCATTAAAATACACCCCCCAAAAAGATTTAAACTTGTCATGTGTGAGCATGGTGACAGGTACAGAAAGAAAATAAGCAAATAAATACGGATACCTGACTGTTCTGATGTTGGGATGAGTGGAAAAAACGCAGATTAAAACTAATCTGAAAGGATGTCAGAGTTTGAGTTGTGCTTGAACTGTGATTGAAGTTTGATCATGCAGCTCTTTTTAAGCTGGAAATTTTACTGTACTGGATAAGTGAAAATTCCTAAATGGTTTTAAAGGTTGGATTAATTACACAAGCATTTATACAAGTAGTTCTTAAGGGTTGTTGTGGGCTGTAAGTAGCATAGCTGAGTTCACATCCATGTCTGTTAGATCACTGTTTAGGTTAGTTTAATCTCACAGGCAGTCTGTGAAGTATTGCATTCAGCCTGAAGTGCCATTCCATCTGACCTGCCATTTTTTATCCTCAAGACAATGAGCCTCTCTGCTTTCAGATCATTGTTCGTTTAGAAAGCAGCCTGTGAAATCAGAGGGGTGTGTGTGGAGGTGCTTGTCAATAGGAGTGGGCTCTGCTTGGTGAGAGAGGACACCATAATTTAGAGAAATAACCATCTAAACAGAACACTGTGATCCTGTATGCCTGTTGCCCACCATAATGTGTCTGTGCTGCTCCCGGATAGGTGGGGTACTTTGCAGCTTATCTTAGAGCTCTTTGTGTAGGACAGATCTGGAAGCTTTCACAGGTGACTTCTTACCTCTAATCTCTTTGCTACCTGACCAAAGAACAGCATTTAACATGTGAGAGTCCCTTAACATTCTTTTTTTCTCTGCTGTTAGAGCTGCCACTTTTAGCTAATAGGTTTAAATGCTGGCTTCTCTGAATAGGTTGTGTTCCCATTCTAGTATTTTAGGGAATGTGAGGTCAAGTTTCACACTACGAATCAGAATTTACTATAGATACTTGTTTTGGAAATAGATCCAGCATTCTGTCTGCGTGGGTCGTGTAAGAAGTTTTTCCCAATAATATAAATTCAGTATTGCATTGTCTTGGTGCATCCTTATAGGCAACTTCTTCCTGTTTGCAAGGAGAGAGGGCAGTCAGGTGGGCTGAGGAGGGCAGAAGAAGCTCATGCACCTTATGGCTCCTACTGGCTCCCTTTCTTAAAGGCAGACCAGGAAGAAGAGTTAGGTGCTTCCTGCCTTTCTCGGGAGGCAGGCAGGTGTGGAGGTGTGCTCTGTGATCTGCTTACAGAAAGCCCAGTGTGGAGGGAAGGAGCTGCACTACCTGGAGAAGTTCTGCAGCCTAATGGAAGCTGGCACTGCTGGACCAGCTCTGTTGGTCTGCTGCGCAGTCCCAGAGGCAGGCAGAACTGGTAAGAGAGGATTGGAGGAGGGATGCATTTTCCAGGTGGGCCATAAGTCGAGTATCTCTGGCTTGGAGTGTTTGTTTTCTTCACCTGTAGACCAGAAATTCTGACTTTGCAAGTGCTAGGCTTGGTTGTCAGTACACCAGAACTGAAATAATGATTGAGATAGCAATCCAAGTGGCTATGTGCATCTTTTCCAGTTACATTACTTAAGGGTGAAGCTGGACGAGGGGTAAGACTTTCTTAAGAATGAATAAAAGCATGAAAAGGCCGATTGATTTCCCTCCCCACCTCTGCTCCAGCATTTATTTTTAGATCACTTGCATTTTTTTGGTCTTTTGATCAAAAGACACTCAATGCTTTCTTGGGCTTTTTTTTTTCCTTGTCACGTTTTCCTCTGCCTTCACCTGTGTTACCAGAAAATGTGTGAACAGCGAAGTCCCAATGACTTTCTGAGTGATACGACCAGAGTTATAAAACAGTTAAATACTGCAAGCTGTGTTGGTTTGCATGGGATTAAGGATATAGCATACAAGGAAAAAAAAAAAGTTGGCCTCTTCCTTTTGTGGTTGATCCCTTTTCCTCTCTGGATGAGAATGAAACAAGGTTGCACAAGCTACTCAGTGTTTTTGTTGGTGTTTGGAAACGCGTGTCAAAGGCGTTCGTGGAGTTCTAGAAAGTTTAATAGGAAGTGCCTTACCCACATCTGCGGACTGAAAGCATCGTTAGAACTTCCTAGCAAGGCTTTATGTGAAGGCATCTCAGGGTCAAATGTTTTTGAACTTTCACAAATAGATTTGCAGTAGTTCAAAACCGTATACAGATTTTGTGTGTTAGTAATTTTGCATGAGTTTAAAGGCATGCTGTAAAGGAGAGAGTGTTAAATAACTTAGATTTTTCATATT